AGTAAGCCATCCTATGAATGAGTCTTCTTATTGTAGTTCTAGATTATTTGTATTTCCTTCACAATAAAGAAATCAGGAAGTTGCCACTTAATGACAGTTTCTTTATCTCATCCAAATTGATAAACTATGATTACTAGCTGAAGAACAAAGCCACAATGTTAAAACAAAATTTGAGTTTGCTTTTGACTTTGATATAATCTGAAGTTCATTAAAATGTATTCTTTTGTATGAAACTATTAAATCTTCCTGATCTCCTTGCTTATACCACCAAAGGGAAACAAAACATATTCAATATGTACAAAAATATATTAAACATAAACATTTCCAACCAAAGTTCATTCAATTCATCCACTGAGAAATATTTAGTATATAATTAAAACTTGCACTGAAATTAAACAGATTTTTAAGTGAATTATTTCGCCTAGTTCTTACTGAAGCTTAGTTGTATAAGTAAGAATCCATTGCATTGCTAAGGTCAGCAAATTCCATTAATCTGAGTCCTATTTACAGAAATATTTCTTAGAATATTTTTAAATAAGGAACCAATTGGCTATTTGGGTCTGAAAAAAAGACTGGCACAACGAGAAGGAATTTCAAAATTTATGTTGCCTAAAGACAATAATAACGTGCAGCAAATGTTCAGACTGATCAAAACACTTGACTTGTTATACCAACTATATTATTTTCCTCAGAATGTAAGAAAGAACCTTCCTTAACTATACATGTTACATATAAAAGGGCCACAGGACAATTCTAAATATGCAAGTTATTTATTTTCTAGTAAAAAACTTTCTTATTTTTATTGATTTAAAGTTCTCTATTTTTTTAATCAAGTGGCTTAATATTCCACTGCTCCATAAAATGGATTCAAATTTTCATTCTAGAAGTTATGCCATATACTTGGTAATTTAATTCTACTCTGAACAAATTAACTTTTTAATTAAGTACATCCTAACATGAGTGTCCACATATACTTCCCAAATGTGCTTCTCAGGATTGAAGGGTGCAACAGAGAAGAAGAAAGCTTACTCATACAATGCTCGTTGGAATGCAGACATCCACGATATAAAACAGCTTACACAGAGAAAGCAAACAAAAAGGCATACAATTCTAGCATTGTACTGACTATACAAAATAAAATTAGGGAGGAAGAATACAAGGCCCACATACAAGATGAGGGATTCATGGCTTAGAAGTGCTGCATTGGAAAAGGATGTCGGTACAGTCATTGACAACAAGCTAACATGAATCAACAGTGTGAGATAGCCGCCGGAAGGGCTAACACAGTTCTGGACTGCATTAGAAGAAGCCCTGCATCAAAGACAAGTGAAGTTATTCTTCCTTGGTATTGGCAAGACCAGACCTCGAGTTCTGTGTATAATTCGGGGCACCACATTTCCAGAAGGATACTGATGCAGAGAGCATTCTGAACCAGCAACAAAGATGATACAGGGACTGGAGGACATACCCTGTGAGGACAGGCTCAATGAACCTGGGAGATTCAATCTGGAGAAAAGAAGACTGAGCAGAGACATTATATCAGTGTTCAGGTATATCAGAGGGTGCCATATGGAACCATTTTCCACTGCCACAGGAACGAGGACTAAAGTAATGGGTATAAATTGCAGCTACCTAGCTTTTATTTTTATTTTAAACAAAAGCTACCTAGCTTTTACTTAAAGCTTCCTGACAGTAAGACCTATATAACAGTGGAAGAGTCAACCTATGGAGGTTGTGAGTTCTCATCTCAGGAGGTTTTTAAGAAAAGCTGGAGTGCCAGCTCTAAAGGAAGGCTTAACTGGTTTCCCTGCATACTGCAGAGGGTTGGATCAGATGGTCTTTGTGGTCCCTTCCAATTTCAGAATTCTACGTCTATATCAGCCTTCAATTTAGCATTTGTCTAAGAACCATGTGGTAACTTCTTTTAAGAAAAGAATTTATTTTCAGGCAGCTTCTCTTTTTCTCCACCTGTCAGCCTTCCTGGTTCTGCACTGGTCACAGAGAAAGGGAAGTTATTCCTCATTTCTTTCCATTCTCTTTCAGCCTGCTTATTAAAATGTAGTTATTTTTTACCATCCAATGGCTAATTTCCTTTTTTTTTTCATGATGTTCATGGCAGAAGCCAGCACAAAGATGCAAGTCCAGCATTCCCCAATCCAATACACTCTATAGGTGTTCAGCTACTACGTCTGTCACCTACAGCTGAGAACTGATAGGAGCTTAGTCTAACGTGAAAGACACCATATTGAGGAAGATTACAGTAGCTTTTAGCTGGCTAGCAATCTGTGAGCTTATTTACGAGACTGCCTTAATCCCCACTGAAACAAAAATTATGACTATGAGCTTATCTTCATGAATTCTAACAGGATTTAGGAACGTAAATCCCTTGACTCACATCTATTATCTCTCATTATCAGTCAAAAATCACTGGTACTACTGTATGAATTTTATTTTGAATAAGTATTTCTTCTTACCCTCATCCTGAACTTGGAGAGGCACTTTGGAAGATGTCCCCGATATTAACGGCTCATTTATCCAGCATGCAAAGATCACTCCCAGGTTGTGGAATCCACTTCCTCTGGAGTCTACTTGGATTCTCCCCTCTCCTCTGCCAAGCTTTTAATGAAGCTTACTGTAGTGTTAATTTGTATTGAGCCTTTTAAACTATTTTAATTATTGCTAGCCAACTTGAATAGCCATTTGAGTAAAAAGGTGGGATATAAACTGAATGAATGAAAAAACAAAGGCTTGGATACTAAGTAGTTTAAGTGAAAGGCAGCTTATCCAAGAGACTTTTCCCATGATCCCCACCTCTCCCTCCATCATATGTGCTCATAAAAGGCCTCTCCATGAAGTTCGCAATGAGATGGACAGCTGCTAAACAGGGGGGGAGGAAGGGGCTGCCCCAAATCCAGAGGGCAGCATGGAAGTTTCCTTTCACTTTTGCAACTTAACAACGAAGTTACATTATCTTAACCATTTCAAACTAGTGTTTCAACTTGTTGCAGCAAAACATCCCACTTTTTATAGTACAGTTTGAATTACAAGCCCACTCCAACGTATAATGTCTGGGTTTTCAGATAATTTAGAACATTTGCCAGGGATTATTTAATAAAGGGAAAGAAAAAAGGGAGGTAGGGGAGGAGGTCATTATAAATAGAGGAAGCAAATAAAAATGTGATAGGCAGAAAGGAGGAAAGGGAGTTTAGAGAGCAAAGACATCACATTCCTTCCTAAAGGAAGAATTACTTGGAGAAACAAACCTCCCCTATTTAGTTTTCTACATGGTAGAAAATACTGGGTGTGTAGAATTAAATCTGAATCACTATGCATCCAGATGTGCCAGCTGCAGTCCCAAAAGGGAGATACAAAGACATCCCACTGGAGTTAAGGTTTTGAGCATGAGGCAAAGGGACTATTGAAACTGCTAAATTGTTAATCACCTTTTATTATATTGCCCATTTTATGCTAGTAAACAGATAACCACATTTTAAACAAATTTCCTGGTCATGCTGATCAATTTTACTTACAATTGGTACTTTCAGATATTCATGACCCTGTTACTCTAAATGTAACTAAATTCTGCTACATCATATACAAAATGCACAGCTGACTGGTTGATATGCCTATACATATTATATTATATATTATATAATATATAATATTATATTATATTTTGGTATTTATACTATTGAGTTTTATTATGTACTTGTCATTGAGCGAAATAAAGACACTGGATTTGATTTTGATATGTTGGCTTAAATGTATGGATTTCCTTCCTGTTGCATTTATAGAACAGGGCTTTCCTACTCCACCACCACCACCACTTCCTGGTATAACCTTAATACCTGCTTCTGGAAATGCTATGATATATTGTACAGACAGCTGCAGTTGAAGAGGAAGTTAACAAAAATAATTTTCCCCTCTACACAAATGGAGATCCAAGCCACTCTCTGGTCGACTTCTAGATGGTACAGTATGCAAGTAACTGCCATCAAAGCAGAAGATTTTTACTTCTCACAGCTCACTGGAAAACTGGTTGTAAATAAATTTAACTGACTGTATATTTACAGTGATGCTTAAAAGTGTGTGAACCCTTTTGAACTTTCAGTATTTCTACATAAATATGACCTAAGACGTGATCTATTTTCCACACAAGCCCTAAAACTAGATGAACAGAACCAAATTAAACAAATGGGTCAAAATATTATACTTGTTCATTGATTTATTGAGGAAAATGATCCAAAGCTGCACACAGTAGTTGTGTCTACCTACAACACCCATCTACCTGCCCAATACTACTCCACACTACTTGCTGGGCAGGAAAATCTGGCCACTATACTATGCCATGATATTTTAATCAATCTATAAGTTCATTGTTGTGTCCACAGGTCATAACAGCATTACATAGAATTTTAAAAAATGAAATTGGTAATAATAAGAGAAATATAAAGGAAATGAATAATAACCATAAAGAAAAGGCATGTAAGATATGTCCAATATTGCTATTTTTACTTGGGGAGGTTAGGTGGTAGAACAAGACATGTTTTTAGTGGCCTATGAAAGAACCTGCTATATAATCCAATTCCGGTATGAGATATTACTAGTAAATATCTACTTATTTATTTATGTATTATTTATTATTTATTTACATTGTTTTTAGTGTATTTTAATTAGTATTTGTTCTTGTTTTATTGTAAACTGCTCAGAGTCGCTCCTTGAGTGAGATGAGCAGTGACTAAATTTGAAATATACATAAATATAAATAAATAAAATAACTTTCTTTATATATAAAAAACACATCCTAAAACTTTAATTGAACAAATACCCAGATTTCCTCCCTTGGGGGAAAAAAGCTGCACATACACCATATTCTAAGTGCTAATCAAAGGCACAATAGATCAAACACATTCTCCTTCTTACAGGAAACAGCTGTTTCTATCTATAACTTATGTTGTTTAAAAAAGAAGATGGATGGAAAGCTTCAGCCTTATACTTACATGTGAGGTCTGAGTTCATAGAAGTTTCTGTTTCTGTATTCTTCTACTTTCTCTGCTGAATAAATAGGGAGCAATCTGTATGGGTTTATTGATATCACCACACTTCCAATATAAGTCTGTAATAGAGTAAGAAAGTAGAGTTTTAGTAGCTGATACTGCAAATAATCCTACAAAATGTATTAGTAAGTTAGCTCCACTTATACTATAGCAGTATTAGTTGTTGCCACTGTCACAAGTTAATGTTTCAACATGTTTAATTCTAGAGCTAAACATCTCTCATAATGGTCGGATGTTTAAACCATTCCCTTAAGGTCTATAGATTAAGTTCAGATTAAATTAAACTGAGAGCCAGTTTTGTCTAGTGGTTAGGGTGTAGGACTAGAAATCACGGACTATGAGTTCTACTCTTTTTTTAGGCATGAAAGCTGGCTGGATGACCTTGGGCCAGTCGTTCTCTCTCAGCCCAATCCATCTTACAGGAGAAGCATTATGTACACCACCTTGAACTGTACAAAATAAAGGCAGGATCTTCTTCTTCTTCTTCTTCTTCTTCTTCTTCTTCTTCTTCTTCTTCTTCTTCTTCTTCTTCTTCTTCTTCTTCTTCTTCTTCTTCATCATCATCATCATCATCCTGTTTCTGCTTCAGAGGGTTTCTGTTCCCTCCAAGAGTTGGTTTGCAATCTGGTCATGAACTGGGCATCCTCCTGAATCCAGCTGGCCCAGAATGCAGTGTAGAGTAACACCACTGCTGAAGATCCTGCACTGGTTATCAGGAGGTTTTCAGCCTCTATTACATCTATATAGTACAGAACCCCACTATGGTCTTCTGCTCCACAAACAACTGTGTTCTGCTGTACTTTCAACTGTTTTTTTTTCATCTTATAGATCTTGGGGATTCCCCCCCCCCCCCCCCCCCTTTTTTTTTTTTTTTTTTTTTTTTTTTTTTTT